TATAAATATATACCCACGGCAAATTTAGTTCACACTTCTCCTCATAAGCCCAGTATTCAGTATAATCAAATAAACGAAGATGAAATTCCAAGCTGTTGTAGTTGCCGCCATCGCCGCATCCGCCTATGGTCGTCAGCTTCCGACCGGTGACGGAGCTGCCATCGAAGCCATTAAGGCCAGCGCTGTCACCAATGGTTGCTACGAAGAGGGAGTCAACACCGTGGAGTGCCTTGAGAAATTGCTCATCGATGGGGTTAACGAAAAGTTCACAGAGTTAAAGCCACTGTTGAAGATTAGCCCTGCCGCTTCCTACGTAGCAAATATCGAAACATTGCTCGCCTCTGTTACCACAGATGTTGAGGCCTGCTACGACGAGGCAGATTGCGCCGCCACAGCCGCCTGCAACGCGGGATACAACACTGAAGGACTAGCCGCGGATTTCCAGGTGGACTTCATCGATCCCATTGCCGCATGCTGTGGAACAGATGATGTACAAACCTGCACGGAATCTGCCATTGATGCTAGAGTAGTAGCAGCGTCAGGTAATGTTGCGGAAGCGGCTGCAGATGCAGGTGCCCGTAAGTAAGCCAATCTTAATTCTCAAGCAGACATAGTATTATTTAATAAAGAGTGATTAGGTTGACAAAGTCTATCGTTGTCGAACTGAGAATTAAAGTCGTTGATGTAAGTTGCCCGGTGGCATACTCGACTTCTCATTCTCGCTTTTCACGCTTTTGAGCAGTTGACAAGGTGAATTGAAAAATATGATGTTTAGAAAAGTCATGTCTGCTTTGCTCACGACGTTCGGAAGTTACAAAAATAAATCCCTCGTGTATCACACACTCCTTTGAACGGGTGTATTATGGCCCGAAAACTCTTGTCAGTCATCTTAGGCTGCCGTCGAGTACCTTTAGAAGCCCATATTATTATTTTGGTCAGACATTGTACATACATGTGCATGTAGGTTGTCATGCAGTGGAATAAGGATTATGAAACTAAATTCCAATAGCGAACGACATCTCAAGCAATCAGCCTCATATGCAGGACATTCGATATTTACAGATGTGAATGTTACAAGCCTGATTAGCAACACGAGCGATTTCAACGTCACACCTCGACATCAAGATACAGAAGAGAAAGTTTAGCACCTCATCTATCAGAAGTCATTCTATACACTGGCCTCGTACGATGACAACGCAGGTATTATGCCACTATTACTCGCAGCTTTGAGTGTTTCAGGCAGCGAGTTTAACCTTACGCAGGTCAAAGCTTTGGACCACTTCAAGCTGGTAGACAGACGATTATCATACTACCACGTGTCAAACTATGCAGGACCTGTTGCCTACCGCTGCCTGCTATATACGACACTTCCGTTACCATTACCCCGCATGGTGGGCAACGATACGTGGGTACCTTGTTGAATAGGCCCTATGAAATGATAATCACGGCCGAGGATAATGTAGGTCTTACAAAGTAAAACATCAAGTACAATCATATTCTTCTAAAGAAAAAAAAATAACAAGGCTGACGGACACGTCCGTGGCACAATTGAAATATTTTAAACATTTCCTCGTTTTATTGCTTCTTTTTGGTGGTGGCGGAAGTATCTTGCGTCTCGAATCCTGCCTGGTATAGCCACCTGCAGAAGAAAAAAAATAGTTTTAAACAAGGCTATTCTACACGTTTTCAACTTGAGCAAGAAAATTGTCACACCAAAATAGCAATACATTCAGCTGCGACGGACCTTTATTCTAATGCAAATGCCGAATGGAGTCACAAAAATCGCCTACCATTCACGCGGAAATACTATCACACAATACATAGTAGCGTTCACTATATGAACGTCCTGGAAGTGTGATAAAAAACTGTCACCGTATCAGCTACCCGCCGTCAGGTGTAAGCTTGAGATTAGAAGATATTAGTCTCTTAATACCTCATCACGCAAAAGGTACCTTGTGCATCAGTGTATACTTCCGTATAGGGATACTAGCTACATCTCTACTAGATTATGGATAGTAGTACACTACTAGTCAAAGACCATATACCCCTATCGACTAGCATAGACCCCCATATATGTATACTCTTATAGTTATATCACCCATGTTACAAATCGTAGATAATTTTCTTCCCACTGCACACGTGTATATTTGAATGAGCAGATATATAGGTGTAATTCTCCACACAAAAATATAACAACAAAAGTAAAACGTTGAACTAGAACATTGGTATCCGCACTTAACTCACCTGAGGAGCACAATGTCATCGTTTATGACCAAAGCCAAGAAGAGCATGTAAAATAGCGCCGGGATTGATAACCTTAAATCTATTACGTGCCTCAACAGCCACCAACCCTAATGAAAATGTGAGAGAGTGTTGGGTATCCAGAGCCGAAAGGCTTGCAGAGAGGTGCATGTGTGCCGCGATGTGATTTATGTGGAAATTAAGAATTTATGCCAAGATGGGGAATCCCTGTGAGAGTTAGCAAATCGTGTGACAACAAGAACATCGCCCAGAAACAATTTCAAAACTTTTATCGCGGAAGCGCTAGGCTCGTTTTTCGGGAACCGGCGCTAGTTTATCCTGACCTATTTCGATCAAACAATACAATCAAAACGCTAGATCTTATCAATATTCACCTCCATCCTTATTCGGAAAAATATGTTACAAAACGGCATTTACTCAGTACAATACCTGCAATATCCAGTTTCCGGTGCAGGCTGCCAGGTAGACCACGAACGACCACATGGCTAATCCGCGCATCACGGTGGGGTGCGTCTTTGCATACATCACCCTCAAGGCCAAGAACAGATTGGTTGTGAACGCCTTAAAATAGGTGGGGGGGTATTAGTGAGAATACAATTGCTAATTTGGCACGTGTGGTCTTATATTTGAAATATCGAAATGACGCTTACTGATGTGCGTGAACCGAAAGACGAACAAAGCCAAATGAAGACGAGCAGAAGGATTGCAGCTGTCAAACACTCGCAGAATCACACTCACGCCACGCTATACTCACGGAACAAACATGCACGCAACAATTGACATCCTAGCGGGGTCCTATCATCCGATGTGTTCATCCGTGTTCCACTGTAGGCATCCTATTCTTGTGTGACGTTTTGTTCACACATTTATAAAATCATGGTTCTGTAAAGCCCCAAAGTGCTTGCGAGCAAATCTCTCAAACATTTTAGGTAACATGTTTTTTAGAGTTCCATAGGTTAGTCGCTCATAACAACTGCAACACGCAGATATTCGGTCAAATGCTGCCAGCAAGTATTCAGCGTCGATGGTGGCTTTCCAAATAGTACAGCAGTGGTCCCATCGATATAAAGCTATGTGCACAACCCGCATTCAATCGTTAAATGCTCGGGGAGTAATTCATACCAACCCCCTTGTGCACAAATGTTAACCGAAAATTGTAATATGTACAACAACGTCATACCGTATCAAAGTACCGAGCATGATAAATACAACTTACCATATCAACACGGCTAGACCTCGTGTAAACACATCATATACACGGCTATGTACAACGCAATAGAAGCAAAGCACAAACTACCTGATCATAACACATACCATACCAAAGTGCTGAAGAAGGCGTAGATATTGATCATGTGCACAATATCGGCGTGGTTTAGATCATATATAGCCACGAGGAAGAACAGCGTGGTGGACACGTAGTGATGCACCTGGTCAGTGTTGACGAGTGCATGGTTAGCTATATACCTGAAGGCAAGAAGTGGCACGTATAGTGCAGTATGTTTGTTTATGAAATACTCATGCTGTGTGATTCCAGTTGTTTTGCATAAGCGGGTGTCGCTCCGATATGAACTGATAGTTATGCGTGATGTGTATGTAAGCAACCGTGCTGCATTGACGGTACACTCGCCTGATACAGAAGTGACAACAACATTTCTCCATTCGGAAACAAAAAAGCTTCAACTTCATATGAGACGGTACGCGAGCTGACGAAATATATAGTTGATGTGGGATCGATAGTGCGAATAATATCGTTTTATGAATGGAGGGATGGCGCGTCGCTCTCGTCCAGTGGTTGTGCCGTTCGGTTTTTGCAATTAAATCTGTCGAAGATGTTGTGGTAGTGGAGGACAAGGCCTCAACACCCCCACATGTCTTCCTCCCAACAACCAGGCACGCATACACGCCGAACAATGGATATCTACTACCTGGCAGTACGTGCCTTGACAATCACAGAATAGAATTAACCAACTTTAAGAGCATCACTCACACACATGCATACCGCCGCTTGATCAAGAGGAAACATAAATACATACAAATGAACGCAAAGGATCCCAGCTGACCGTGATGGAATAAACTCAAGACCTGAAGATCGCATACCTTCACAAAATCGTACAAACGCCGAAAAAACATACAAATCTGTGCATATGAATTTTAAACGTATATATATATATATATATATATATATATATATATATATAGTATATATAGTATACTAATATATAT